TTTGCTCCTTCATGCAGAAGGTAACCATTAGAGGCCAAGCTTCAGCAACTGGAGTTTCACCCATTTACCTAGCAATCTCTTGGTCCTGAAGATGGGTCAAAAAATGGTCATCACTATCACCATGACTGACAAAAGTTCTTGATCTGTACTTACAACATTCTCAAATTGTGTCCTCACTTTAATTGCAGCTTTTTCTTCTCTGCTTTAAGCTCTACGCAATTTTAGATAGGGCCATTTCATGATAATTGTTTACAAACTTTACAGAACTAGTGTCAAATGGTTAAGAAAAACACATTCAAAATGAACTCTAGGATAACAATTTCTAGGTCATTATACTAAAATGTAACCAAGTAACTTTTCTGTGGTACACTGATTTCCAACAGATGAGCACAAAGTATTAGCAGTATAGCATGTTCTGGAAATGTTAAGCAGATAATTATGAAGTAGGAGATTAAAGAATTAGTTAATGCAAGTGAACATATAAGAAGAATCTTAATTCAAAACAAACATGTCTTCTTAAAACTAAACTGTGTTGCCTCTGTATATTGTATGACTTTTGGGGGATAGGTAATTCTTATTTCTGCACATGAAAGAGATAAGAATAATAGTATGTCATACTGTTAATAGTGTCAAATCAGAACATAATCCTAGTGCTGTATCCCACAACCTAGATTACATTAATCAACAATCATTCCCATTAAACATTTTTAAGGGAGATAGATAAGCCATCAAATCTTACTAACTTGCATCAGGGATTCCAACCAGTATGATTTGAGCATACTGATTATGATATTAATGTTAAAAATAGAAGAGTATGATGTATGTACAAAGAAATGTGATTTTATTAGTTATTCATCCAACTTTGGAAAGTTATGGAAAAATATATTTGAAAATAATTCTTTCAAGAAAATCATTCCCTAAGTAGTTTAAATATAATGTAGTTGTATGAAATCAGCCTATAGGGTTTTTTGTAACTTAGTCAAATATTTCTAGTAGAGTGTGTATTCAAGAGCTCACCAAACTAGTTATTGTTAAGACTTTTATTGCAATAATTCACATGAATAATAGACAGGGCTCCAGATACACCTCCATCTCCAAAAAAATGAATCTAAGTGGTATCGGAGAGCAAAAGTTTAAGACAAAATACAGTGGGGAGTTCCCAGTACTAAAACTAATCAGAACATCATACCTACTGCAAATGTTGCTCATCAAAAGAATCTTCATGGAACTAGAGATTATATTGTGAAATGCACAAGAACTGGAAGCCACATTACTGAAGCGAATATTGTGTCTTCGTCAAATACAATGTGCATATTGAGCCCAATATGATGTTAACTTACTTTTCTACTTTAAAATTAAACAATAGTAACATAACACTGACATTTTGATTCTCACATATTCAGTACTGGGTTGATAAAAACATTTCAATGATCCAACCAAGGTTTTTGGTCCAGTATTGTATCACCTTTTTAGAAGCTAACATCTTGTTTTGCACAAGTAAGTGTTCCAACACTCACAATAAGTACAACCTTATTTCAAGAGGGCATGACAATACAAGCCCTACTTAAACACTCAAACTGGTATGCAATCCTTGTTTAAGACTAGAAGGTTAGCAGAAATTTATGTCCTTTCTACATCCTGTTCACAAGACATCACTAACTACATCTAGAACACCTGAAAGAAAATTATGAAACAATCTTCACTATGAATCACAGATTTTAAGCATGTACTTAATATATTAAACAATGCTTATAAATGTGAATTTTCCATGAACATATAAGAATCTTCTATTCCAATAGGTGTGTAAATGTTTGAATGTTGGTATTCTTATGTGTAACTGCCATGCAATGGAAAACCCATAGTGTTAGTTTTGTTGTGTACAATAATTCTTCCAAAAGTAACTTTTTATTCTTCAAAGTAAGAAATGTAAACAGTAGTATCGAATCACTGTTCAACATATTGTAATTTGATTTGGGTCTTTCATTTTTGTCATCGACAGTTGTAGTGTCCCATAGTGTATGTATGTATAAGAGAGAGTCAGTTTATTATATACTGAAGCCATAGATTATCTATGACATGAATTAATTATCAAAACTTTTTTTGTGTGGATTGTTATTAATACACAAACATTTTGCATGTAGCTTGGCATTATGTACTCTAGCAACAAAATCTTTAAAACACATGAACTTCTTTTTTCTAATGTTGTGATTGTATACTTTTTATTGATTTTCTGACCAAAGTGTATGGGATACTTCCATGTGCTTTTAGATGTGGACAGAAAATTGTTGTTTAGTGGTTTCAATACCTTAACCACAGTATTTATGAACAAAACATTTAAAACTTACACAAAAATTTTCACAATTGATAAATGCCCAGTTTCATTGACTCTCCCCTATCTAGGACAACAAAGTATCATACTTTCTGTACAACTTAAGTACTAACTTAACATCATTTTCAAATCATCCTTTAAGTTAAAACATGTTTTCAAAACAAAGGATCATCTGCCTATCACTGTTTACTGTTGAATCTATATAAATATACTAGCACTGTCTGTTGTGTGCCCATGTAACTACTTCACAGGGTGTGGATGGATCTTCACTAAATTTGGTATGGAGGTTCATGGGGGAGATACGGTTTGCAGTTTTTATGGGCAGTTTTGCATTTTTGCCACTATTTCGCCCCCTGTAGATGGATCTTCACCATATTTGACATGAAGGTTTGTTGGGTCCATGTAGAGATATATAGAAATTTTCAGTTTTGTGTTTTTACATTTTTTACTACTACTTCACCCCATGTTGATGGATCTTCACCAAATTTGGCATGAAGATTTGGTGGGTCTAGGTGGAGGTGCAAATTTGCGGTTTCACATTTTGTGTTTTGCAGTTTTTGTAGGTGTTTTTGCATTTTTTATAATTTCATATAATGGAAACAACTTTTCATGTCCTAAGATAACATTTCATTAATCATGAATTTACATAACTTCCATCCAGGGAACAGGTGCTCCAGCTAGTTGTTTTTAAGTGCATGTGTGATGACTGCAAAGCCACCTTTATAGGAAAAACTAAAAAAAATTTTTGTCCTCATCGAGTAATATCCTTCTAAGTCCACCCAATCAGCAGTCCAAAATCACAGTTATGAAACTGGACATTCACTTACTCAAGATTCCCCATTCTTTGTAATGATACTCTTTCTAGGTAGTCAGTAATGTTGTTTCTTAATTTTATTCTTGTTCCATTCAAATATAGTACACTTGAATTTTTTACTGAGCTTAATTTTCACTAAAATAGATCTACCCTGTTTTAAATATAATGGTCTTCTTATACATTTAATCTATATTAAAGTAGGTTTTTGAAAGAAATTGATCTTCTAATCAACATGTTTATAAGAAAAATTATATTTTTTATTTCCTTTTTTCATTGATACTCCTTCTAGATAGTCAATAATGTTGTTGCTTAATTTTATTGTTTTTCTTGTTCCATGCAAATGTAACACATTTGAATATTTTTATTAAGCATAATTTTCATTATCATCTTATGTCTGAAGAGAAATTAAGTGAAGAGGTCAAAACATTGCATGAGCCTAATTATTAATTTGTATGTATTTTCATATTACAAAATATCTCACAAGCTGGAATCAATTAGTTATGAGGTTCAAGTCAGTATTGGCTATTAAGAGCACACAGTGTCTACACATATTAGTTGCTATTTCCCAGATCCAGTTTCAAGTCTCAACCCTTTCCACTAATGCATCAGAAACTTTGATATTCTTCTGGGATGAATCAGATTTATCAAAACCTGAGAAAGAAAGCACTGTGTTCTATAGAAGAGAAAGTCTCAGGTCTTCAAAATATGCTTTTATATACCAAATTTGGATGATTAAAAATGTATGAAGAATTTTATGTGGTGGTGTTAGAGGAGTTACATCAAATTTGTGTACTTATGAAGCACATCATAACAGTACCAGTGGACATAGAAGAATGAAAAATGCTGGATATTTGCTTTTATCACGTTATGCAGCATTAAGTATCTAAGCCTCACTTCATGTTCCTCCAGAGATTACAAGCTCTGGTGTTGAAATCTCAAAAATACACCAGGGTAATTAGCCCAGACTAGTTTGAATTTTTTTCCCCTTATATTTCTTGTCTATGTTATCTGATTCTAATAAAACATTTTCCCCAGCTATTTAAATATTTAAAGTTCATGTCATCTGAAGATTATTAATCCTTTCACTGCTACTTTTATAGAAAACTTTTCACCCCCCTTCCCCTAGTGCTAGGTTTATTTTTAGATACATAATAAAATACAAAAATACATGTTTTAATATTTCATTACTATGTAAAACTTGAAACTGGCAATGTTTGGGAAGTTTTAAGGGAAATACCCTTTCTTCAAGTTGGTTCAAAATTGTAGACATATATGGCAGTGAAAGAGTTAAGGTTATCTTTGGAGTGGAAGAAGGTAGGTTATCTTCATGTAACTTTATACATGGGAAACAGAGTCATTGACATTTTAAAGTGGTAACTTTGTTTATTGTTTTACAAGTCTGTAGCACATACAATTTTGAGCAAAACATTGATTAAATGGCCAAGGGGATCACTGATTGATAAAGTTTGGAGTCCTAATAATTTTGACTCCTTCATTCAGTCAGGTTGATTTCTTTACTATTTCTTTATTTTTTTGTCTTTAACAGTAATATGTACAAAGTTTGGTATAAATCAGAGTTGGTAGAATGTTATCTGTTGTGTGATTTGTAACATGGCTTCTGTTTAACATTTGCAGAATGGAAAAAATTTACATATTGCATTAATTGTTGGAATCCTGGACTTATTGAACTAAATCTGCTGAAATCTGTGTATTTTATGTGATTAAAAGTTGGCAAAAATATGATTGTTGAAAGAGAATTGAAATGATTTATGGTTATCATGTAAGTATACTAGGTGTTATAGTTTTATTTCGGTGGTAGACTGTAATAGTTCATTAAAACTTATTTATTATTCTTAGCGGTATCTACACTGTTGGTTCATTTCATACTTCAGACAAAATTCCATTATCTACCAGAAAGTGTTGCTGTTGTGTTTCTTGGTAAGTATCTGTTATATGTTTCTGATGAAGTTAATATGAAGTCTTGAAATCTATGAAAAGCCTAGAATTTGAAAAGATATCTGTTGAAACCTAAAAACTCAAAAGTTAGTAGTTTTACTTAATGTAGTTAGTATTAATTTGTATTTTGCAAGTTCAATGTGCACTGAAGTTGTAGTATAGAAATCCTACCCAAATCCACCTCCCAGTGATATACATTTCATATCTACAAAGTTCTAAAGTTTTCTATAGTTTTAGTATTGGGACATTAATAAATCCATTTGATATCATACACAAAAGTTAACCTAATGTGTTACTTCTGTAGCTTGAGTGGTCAAGGAACTTGTTTGCTGTTTCATGCGATAGTTATGTTTTGTGCTGCTTGACCTTGTGCATGGAGGATCGCTTTGTGTTACCACCAAGTTAGAGTGACAGTCATGATTCTTGCAACCCTCTTTTTTTTATTGGTCAGCTGTAGTGAGAATGTGTGTTGTTTGTACAGTTTTATGGAGATTAGCTTTGGCTTTAAAAGAGTCAAGATGCACTGTAAACTGCTATATTTTCACATAGGTTATTGTGGTTGCCAACCTAGCATTGTCATACTTTAATTTCAAGTTTGTTTTATTTTACCTTATTTCCAAAACATACATACTTCCCCTCACATTACAGCTATTAATCAACTTCCAGGGTTTCTTCCTTTGCCCATCTAAGCATTGGTCTCATTTTTTTCTCACTTGCTCCAATTTTTATACCCCACTTAATTGCCCTTGGTGATATTTGTCTCATGATCACCACCTACGTCAGTGCACTCTCTATCCTGGTACTGTATGTAAGCACCACATTCAGATAACGTTATTACTTTTTCTCGACAAAGTGTTCAATAACAGGTTTCTCTGTGCTATGATTGTTGGAAATACTTTGAGCATTTTTTGTACAAAAAAAAGATTTTGTTTGACAATCCAATATATGGCATCAATGGCAAATCCTAGACTTTGGCTTTGGTTTATCATGCTTATATATATTGTATGTATATATATATATATATATATATATACTTGTATAACAGTAATTAAAACATAAAAATATCCTAAATTGTCATAGAAAAATGCATAAACTAAAAATAAATTAGCACTTAGCATAATAACTAATACTAAATTAGTGCCATCTGGCATTTACTATCCTACTATGCACTGCAATCACGAGTGATATACTACCAAGATGTTTAACGCATGCTGATAGGCTGAACTGTCTTTGCTGAATCAATCACATAGATGACACATATAATCAGTACTTGCACAGTCACTGTGGTCAACAATGGTTGAAAATAACATCTTGTGTCATTGCTTTTTCAAAACTGCAGTACTTATATATTTGTGCTAGTAATGGATGAGATTCAAATATTTTTATATTGACTAAAACATTATTTCTTTTTAACTCATTTACCACTGGTAAATGTGGTAACATGAAAAATATGCCACTTTATGGCATAAATGCTCGGATTATTATTTCCTGGATGGAGGCAAATCAGGTCTCTCCTATCCCACCTCTGATATCTAGCATCGCTCAACAATCTCTGTTGAGACTGTCAGTGATGTTATTCGTAGTGAGATGGAGGCATACATTTGGTCAAGCAGCATCTCTCCAGGGGGGGTTCTGAGGCTGCTTTTTTCGATGATCCAGGACAGTCTGGAGAGAATTTGGACTCTTTTTCTAGCACCTTCCTTTATTCATTTGGCTTTTTAGGAAGCCACTTTGGGATAAGCTGCCTCAGGCTCCTTTTCTTCAGTTGGTCCATTGAGTGTGTGATGTTTTGGGTTTTTCTCCAGTTGATTTTGAGCCCACAACTTATTTGATGGCTGAAAGGTCTGGGAGGAAATACTTAGTTTTCCTTCCATCCAGTGACATTGTGATTTATGCAGGTAGATTTACTGTTCAGTTACATGTAGGAACAGCTATGCCTTGTCTGCCAAAGCTGTCAGAACTATGTGATTTAGCCTACTACCACCAGGTGAAAGAATATTCTGACACTCATAGTACATCTGCTTCTGGAAATTTGGGGTTCTGGAGCGGAGTCTGTAGTTAACCTGAATATATCACAACTTTCTAGGATTCATCTTACCCTATATACAGTCCCAAGTTATTTATAAGAACAGGAAGTCTGACTCTTACTTACTTCTCCTTCTCCCACTGTATAGATGGTTCTTTCTCTTTTACAAATATGGCATCACTCGATTCCCTCATGTCTTTAGGACAAGTGCACAAGAGATCCCTTCAATGGTTTTGATGTGATCACTGGATCATGAAAAGTGATTCACTAGATTCCCTCATTTCTTTATTCAGGATCATTTTCTTCAATTTCGAGGGGTGGTTAGATCAGAACAATAATAAGATATGGGTTCCTCTGCCACCACCTCGTCCAGAGATCCATCTCTTCACGAATGCTTATGGGGTGTGTATCTCAATGGTCAGGAATTCCAAGATCTACACATGAATGACGAGGCTTTCCTACTCCACATTTTAGACCTTTTTGCTTTTCAAAAGGTGATGTCTCATGGTCTGCGTTTATTTAGGACAAAATCGTCAGGCTTCATTCTGACAATTCCATGGTGATGTCTTGCATTTCCCGTCAAGTGGGGACTTGGTCTAGGGCTCTTTGTTTTCGAATCTTGGATCTCCTTTCTTGGGACCACTCCTATTATATCACCCTTCTAGCTGGAAATGATCCATGGGGAATGACTTTGATAGCAGATCAGTTATCTCCACCCAAGCAGATTCTCCCAACAGAATAGATCATGAGGTTTCTTTGTTGGATTGGCTCTCATTTTAAAACACTTATAATATTTGTGTTGGTCACTCATTGGAACATCCAACTAATGGCAATATGGTATACAGTACTTCACCCTCTGGCTTTGACTTTAGATGCATTCAGTCAAGACAGGACAGGATTACACCTCTAGGCTTTCCCTCCAATTTATATGTTACCCAAGGTACTAGCTATGATTTGTTCCAACCCATTTTTGGGTCCTGTTGATAGCACCAGATTGGCAGCTAAACCCTGGTTTGTGCTTCTGTGGTACCTTCGGGAGTGCCCACCTCTTCCACTTCCTCTTTGGTCATCTCTGTGGAGGAACAATGATCTGACATCATACACCCAACTATTCAGAAGCTCAGGCAGAGGTTACACAGTCCTTTGCATGGAATTGGGGTTTAATTTCTAAGGTTGCCATGTATCTGTCTCAGTCTTTGCTTTGTCCTGTGATGGATATTTATCAACTGAATTGTCACACATATCAAAAATGGTGTATTGAGAAAAAGTTGAACACACTTTGATCAGAAGTGCTAAACATAACTCGTTTTTCAACGTTGCTCTTCAACAAGGGTTTTGCATCTTATCACCCTGTTTAAGATGGCCTTATCAACAACTGTTTCGATAGTCGAGACAAAAATTCTTTGAGTCCCCAGTACCCTCTGGCTTCCTCAAGTTGCTTTGGGTCCTTTGTTCAAAAGAACCATCCCATTTACCTAACTGGTATATTACAGTTACATTATATACCCTTTCTCAACACCCATTTGTGACTTTATCCTCATGTGTCATGTATCACCTTTCCCTGAAGGTTTATGTTTCATTGCTGCTGACATACAGACATCGCTGGTCAGAGTAGTATGCACTGATTGTGCACAGGATGTATTATCATTCTACCTATGCCCTCAGACTGGTTCTTCTTCCCTAAGACACTGTCAGCCAGGGAAAGGGATAAATTCTTTTCACCATTTCATCTGATCACTATTTCTCATTTCTATGACCGATCAGCTTTTGATCATTTGTTATGTCTAGTGAGGGCCTTGAAGGTTTTGTTGCCCAAACTAATGCTTTTAGAGATGCTAGACAATGACTTTCTATTCATTGGGATCATTCCGTTTCCCAGGATTTTCCCCAGTTATATTGATGAGATGGGTACAAAATTGATAAATAATCCTTATTCTAAGCTCTCTTTGAAGGTGAGGAATCTTCTGTGAGTCATTTCAAATCAGATTTGTTACGTTTCTATGTCCTTAGCAGCCTAGTTGAAATGTCCGCTGGAGGACATTGTGCGAGTTGGTATGTGGACATCCCATAATACTTTTATCTCACATTATCTTCACCTGAGGGTTTTTTACTACTCCCTGTAGCTATTTTAACCACTTCCACTAGATTATACAGAGGGGTGAGTATTTTCATTGCTACACTTCTATCTACTTTATCTCTCAGGGTCCCTTACTTCGTTTCACAGTATCCCACTCTGTAGTGAGTTTTGCCCAGTGCAGGTGTGCTTCTATCTAACCAATTCTGCACTAGCAACCACTTATTCAATATACTTTATCTAGGTTGCAACAGATTCTCTAGAAATGAAATGTTCCATAAGGCCACCTAGAGGCTGACTGGGTGGTATTACTGTATCCAGCTGGAATGCCACTCATGGACTGTCATGAGAAAAGCAGAAGGGTATCCTGCCTATCTGTGCTGATCATCGGATTGAATAAATCGGGGTCTATTTTCTTTTAAACATTTAGGGAACTTGGTTTACCTTTTGCACTGTTTCCAGAACACTGATCCTCCGGATTCTCCAACGTGCACACCCCAGATTCTACTACTTGAGCTAGGGAGTCCTTACCACACCCGGTTTCCAGTCACAGGGGTGGTGGACAGAGGCTTTTCCTTCAGAGTGTTAGAGTGAATTTCCTCCTCTTGGATAAGAGGGCAAAATTGGGGATCCTCTTAACCTGTTCCCTGAATGTTGGTATGAGAGGCACCAGCCTATGTGGGAGCCTGCTTGTAACACTAGTTCAGATTGGACATTCAGCTGTCTGATTGGGATGAGCATGGCCCTTCTTTTTGATCAATATTGGTTCAGTACATTGTTCAAAGAAGAGGGTCTATTGTTTTTTCATAATTCCAAATGCAGAATGGTCCTATTCTGGGTCCTTGGTTGATTACAGTTTGTTCCACATCCTCTTCATAATTC